TGGTTTTGTGTTATTGATACTGTTGATAGGGACAGTTCCCCTTTGTGGAGTTGGTAAAGGTCAGATATGGCTATCCCCCTGTGGCCCTTGCTCTTTTTACTCTTGCTAACCCAGAAGTGTGAGCATTGACTGCAGGGTCCTAGGTTGGAATAAGCCTGAGGGCTGTGGTTTGGTTTTGGCAATGGTGCTTCTTTCTGAGTCCACATATTCTGGGGATGTAGCCAGTGAAGGAATCCTAATTCTCTTCTCCCCATTAATCTATGAATGAGAAAGCCAAAATTTGGGGTATCTGGTTCTCCACAGCCTCCAAACTGACTTTAGAGCAGGGTGTTTGCATTAACAAAACCTAAAACTGACTTGGCAATGATTATGGCCCCTCATCTCCCAACTCAGGCACCGAGTGGGACCGCTGCTGGGCTGGGCTCTGCTGACCAGGAAGCCAGAGACTGCAGGGCAGATGGGGAAGGTGGCTGGGCAACAAGGCTGGTTCCGGGTCCCTTTCTGTTTCCTGTCCCTGGGCCATTTCAAATTTGCTGCTTCACTGAGGTAGAACGTGGAACTTTGCACAAGGGGCCCTCATATTTTTCACGGTCACCGATTTCAGCACAGCAGGGGCAGGCTGTGAGGCGCATAGGCAGCAGCACGGGACCCCCAGAGTTAGACAGCTGGGCCTGGGAGTCAAGCCTAAGTGCTCATGCCCTGCTTCAATAAACACTCCTGGGAAGACACCCGAGTGTCGTCAGGCACGAGCAGAACCTGACATCTTTCCATCAACCTTCTTCCAAGACCCATGATAAAACCCAAGGTTAAGAGGCTACTGAGATCTGCCTGGATCACAAAGGAGTATCCGGTACTGGGAGGAGTAAGCATCCGACCTTGGATGAAAACCAACCGACCCTCAATCGATTACCTATCTTTCTCCCCTAGAGTTGCGGGTGGATTCGAACCACGAGATGCTCAGCACCCAATTCCTACTGACTGTGCCACCAGGGTGTCCTCTGTTAGTGCAACACGCAATGAAAAGAAAGATTCAACTCAGTTAAAACACTGCCAGGAAGAGAAACCAGGCTGGAGCTGGGCAGGACAATGTAGATCTTAGCCAGCTTCACTGACTGGCCCCTGCCTCACAGCCCCTCAGCCTGCCACCGCCCCAGACGTCCCTGTGAGGTGGGTGGCCGCAGTGGTCAGCTTCCAGCTGGACAACCGGGGTGCAGTGCTCCTCCAGCCCACAGGTGGCGCGCCAGGGGCCGGCGGAGGGGGGCTGCGTCCCAGAGCACGGGCGCGGGAGGAGTGGCCCCAGCCGACAGGTGGCGCGCGAGGCTGCGGGAGGGCCACGCCGACCCACAGGGCTGCACGACTGAGCACAAGCTCGGCGCTCCTCCGGCCGACAGAGGGCGCGCGAGGCTGCGGGAGGGCCACGCCGACCCACAGGGCTGCACGACTGAGCACAAGCTCGGCGCTCCTCCGGCCGACAGAGGGCGCGCGAGGCTGCGGGAGGGCCACGCCGACCCACAGGGCTGCACGACTGAGCACAAGCTCGGCGCTCCTCCGGCCGACAGAGGGCGCGCGAGGCTGCGGGAGGGCCGCACGACTGAGCCCGGCCCGGCGCTCCGGCGCGAGCCCTCCCTCCGCCTTCGGGGCGTGGGTTCCCCCGGCAACGCGCCGCGGCCGCCATGGACGCGCTCTCGGGGGTCCGGCCCCGCCGGTCTCGTGGGGACCTTGGCCAGTCGGCCCCTGCACCAGGCCCCGCGGTGCCCCCACTGTCCGCGGGCAGTGCGTCGCAGGCCTCGCCGCAGCCCTGGGCGCGCTTCTCCGCCTGGCTGGAGTGCGTGTGCGTGGTCACCTTCGACCTGGAGCTGGGCCAGGCGCTGGAGGTGAGCCGCGGGCGGGGAGGGCCGGGGCTCCACGGTGCCTGGCGCCGCCGAGGCAGGTGCAGCCGAGCGCTGTCCACACATGGTACCCAGACGCCCAGCCCGCTGCTCCGAAACCAGTGCTAGTGCTTCTAACCTGCCGCTGCCGAGCAGGGGAGCAGGGCCGAGCGCTCTGGGATGTTGTCTGCCACCGCTCTGTGCTGGGGGGCTCCCCACCGATCCCAGCCTCGGGGGCCCGAGCTCGGGGCTCCCCTCTCACCCGACCTGGGGGAGCTCGGGCTCCGGGCTCCCCACCCATCCCGGCCTCGGGGGCTCAGGTTCAGGGCTCCCCTCACCCCGGCTGGGGGGGCTCGGGCTCAGGGCTCCCCACCGATCCCGGCCTCGGGACCCCTCCTCAGGACTTTGTGTTCTGAGGCCGCTCCTCTGCATCCAGCACGGGAGCTGTCAATCACTGTTAAATGTGGCATCAGGAAGCGGAAAGGGCTTTGGGAATCAGAGAACAAAACTCTCCCTACCTGGGTTTCTAGTGGCACCGCGGCTCCAGCCACACCCAGGGGTCACTGGGTCACCATCCAGATGTGTTTCCCCAGGTGCTCCCCTCCCTCACACCTTCCCGCTCACTTAACACCAAGCCCAGGCTTCCCTGGCTGGCACCCTCCTTCACCCTCATCTTCCCTGGGTCTCAGCCTTGTGCGTGCCACTCAGACACTGGCCACCTTTCCTAGGGCACAGTCAGGCTGCATCCTTCAATGTGGTCTTGTTTCAAGCCCCTCAGATTTGAGAGTTCTCGCCTAGTCTTCTCAAGAATGAGGAGACACACTGCTGGTGAGAACATAAAATAGTACAGCCACTGTAGAGGGCAGTCTGGCACTTTCTCAAAAAGTTGGAAATAGAAAATATCATATGACCCGGAAATTGCACTCCTGGAAATATAACCTAAAAAAAACCAGAGCCTCAACTTAAACAGACATATGCACACCCATGTTTATTGCTGCATTTTTCACAGCAAAGAGATGGAAGCAACCCAAGTGCCCATCAACAAACGAATGGATAGAAAAACCTATGGTACAATCACAGAGTGGAATAGTAAGCAGCATTGAAAAACAACTTGTAAAATAATTTACAACATGGGGGAGGCTGGAAGACATTCTGCTGAGTGAGGTAGTTCAGTTACAAAAGGATAAACACTATACCTTCACTGTTAAAAGACTGACATGGGAAAACAGGTAAAGAGTGGATAGATAATGAACACTTCATCGGAACAGATGAGGGGAGGACTGTCTGAATTTATGATTAGGCGTTATAATATATGACAACAGTCTGGAACAGGACATGCGTTGCAAAGAGGACTGGGGGTCTAGGGAGGGAAAGGGGAGAAATAGGCAACAAGGAATGATTAATTAAAGTCAGGCGATGAGGCAGACGGAGGAAAAGGCTCAAGAGAGCAAGTCAGAGCAGGTCTTACCAGGTGCTCTGGCAGGACAGGTGTTGATTTTCTTGCAGGGATGATGCGACAGCATTTTACCACCAGCAGTCAGGAAATTAAAAGACAAATTGCACTGGGAAAGTCCGCTGTCAGAGACCTCTCCAAGGTACTGAAGAGCAATGATGTCAGTCTGGAGACTAAGGTGCACCTGATACAGGCCATGGTCTTTGCAATTACTTGCTATGTATCAGAGAGCTGGACAATGACTAGCGATGATAGAAGGAGAGTTGTGGTGCTGGAGAAGAGTATTGAATATACTATGGACTGTTAAGAGAATGAACAGGTTTGTCCTGGAGAGGGTGAAACCAGGCTGCTCCTTGGAAGCAAGGATTCTGAAGCTTTGTCTGACATACTTTGGACATGTTGCAAGGTGGGATCAGTCCTTGGAAAGGGACATAATGCTTGGGAGGATGGAGGGAGAGGAAGACCCTCGAGATGGAGTGATTCTATCACTGGGGTAATTAATGGGAATATGTGTGTTGGAGACAATAAGATCGGCAAGGGATAGAGCAGGGTTTAAGGCTGTTGTACATGGGGTCAATATGAGTTGCAAGTGACTCAATGGCACATAACAACATTGCTAATAAAACTTGAAATGATTTTTAAATTCACGTAGGAGCGAGTCAAGGTTGTATTTTGCCTCTTGAGGATTTGCTTTCATTTTCTTCAGCCTCTGTTTGAACTTGCACATGAGTAATTATGGTCTATTCTACAGTCTGAAACTGACCTGGTTTTGATAATGAGTTTCTCTAACCATTGTTTCCACAGATGTAGTCAATCTGATTCCCATGCAGTCTATGTGGTAAGTTCCATTTGTATAGCTGCTGTCTGTTTCTTAAAAAAGATGTTTGCTTTGAAGAAATTGTTGAATGTTCAAAATTCAGTCTCCAGCCTCATGACATTAAAGAAAATTTAAGCAAGTCCACAAGAGCCACAATAAGGTTGTAAGTCTGTCCCACCTGAATTTAACAATCACTTCAAGAGCCCATCAACAAATGAATGGCTAGAGAAGCTTTGGTATAGTCACACAGTGGGATACTATGCTGCATTGAAAAACAAGGAACTCATGAAATATTAATGCAAAATGGGTGACCCTGGAGGACATTATGCTGAGTGAAATATCTCAGTCACAAAAGGACAAATACTGTATAGTGCCACTGCTGTAAAGCAGGACTGACATTGGAGTTGGGGGGAAACTAACAAGAGGGGGGAAATAATGTATAGTGCTTTGGAACAGATAGGGGAAAGAGGCTTGGAAGAGTGGAGAGACAGCGCAAGAGAGGAAGACCCTGGATGAGATGGGCTGACTCAGTGACTGGGGTAATGGAGTAGGTGTGTCAGAGACAGGGAAATGACTCAGGATAGAGCAGGGTTCAGAGCTGTTGTACGTGACTTGCAGGTTACATAACAACAATACCTAAACCAAGAAGCTGTTGTCCAAACAGCAAGGGAACATGGTATGTGTCTAAAATCAGGAAGAGAGTGTGTCAGGGCTGTCTCCCCTCTCTCTCCCTATTCCATCTGTATGCTGAGCAAATCATTTGAGAAGGTGGGCTTTGTGAAGAAGAGTTGTGGCATCAGGATTGGAGGAATGCTCATCAAGGTGTATTATGTAGATGACAACCTTGCTGAAAATGAGGACTTGAAAGGCTTGCTGCAGAAGATCAAATCCTTCAATATGAATTCCATGCCAACATCAAGAAAACAAAAATCCTCACCACTGGTTCCGTAGACAACATCATGATAGCTGGAGAAAGGATTGAAATTGTCAACAGTTTCATCTTGCTTCGCTCCACAGTCACAGCCGTATTGGGAAAGTCTGCTGTCAGGCTCTCTCCAAGGTCCTGAAGAACAATAATGTCAGTCCAAAGACTAAGGTGTGCCTATTTCATACCACAGGCTTTCCAGTCCCCCGCAGAGCTGGACAGTGAAGAAGGAAGACAGAAGAGTTGATGCTTTTGAGTTGTGTGTGGTGTTAGAGAAGAATGCTGAATATCCCATGGACTGCCAAAAGAACAAACAGATAAGAATTGCAGAAAGTGCAACCTAAGTGTTCCTTGGAGGCAAATTTGCTCAAACTTCATCACTCATATTTTGGACATGTTGTTAGGATTGGCTTTTCCTTGAAAAGAAACATCACGCTTGGAAAGGTAGCGGGTCAACAAAGGAGAGGGAGTTCTTCAGCGAGATGGATTGACACTCTCTGCAGCAGTCTTCGGCCTTGATGTGACGGAGATAAGTATGGCGCAGGGTAGTCCAGATCTGTGGCTCCTGGGGTCACTACAGGTCATCCTCGATTTGATGTTACTGAGAACAATAAAGCTTGTCCGCATCCGCAGATGTCGGGAGAGATGGTGTTTTCAGGACCTGACCCGTCTAGGCAGAGTTACAGAAATGAGGTGCCACTTAGTCTCTCAAGATAGATTCCATCTCCGAGGCTTTTGGACCTGTGAGCACTGTCTAACAGGCACAGTGCTCGTGCCTAGTCTCTGTGATCACAGGCTCAGTCCTGCCTCAGCAGATGATGCTCTGCTGTCTTTAGAAGGCAGGGCCATAGAGTGCTAGGAGTGTGTGGACTGCATGCCTAAGGCAGCAGCAGGCTTGACCTACTCAGGAACAGTGTTACCACCCGGTAGTTCTCTGCCCTAACACCAGACACCCTCCCTGCGACCTGTCTCTGGCTGACCTGCCTCAGTCCCACTAACCCTCCCACTGCCATCCACAAGGTATGGTCCTCCGGGAGTGGGTGATGATGTGGCATCTAAGGGAGGGCCCACAGGTGGTCCGGTGGCCACACCGCACACAGGCACTGCCTTGCTGTCCGGAAGAGACAGAGCCCAAGAGCAGTGAGTAGTGTGCCAATCATGGGTTGTCCAGGCGAAGACTACAGCATGTTTGAGACAGCTGCCTGGCCCTTCTTCGTTTGACGGTGCCTGAAAGTGGTGTGCTGCCCTGGAACTGTAACTTCGGCAGAGTCTCACCTGACCGGGCACCAGGCTCTCAGTGGAGAGGACCCCCGCTTCCTGCACTTCCTCCACAACAGTGCACGCTATACCCCATATTCACCGACATCACAGGTGCTTCTTCCTTTGCACGTGAATGTACTATAACTGAAAATGCTGTGGCTTGTGTCAGGCCCACTGTTGTTTGTGAGCTGACACCCTTGCTCTTCAGCACTTCAACAAAGTCCTTAATAACCCGATTTGCCCATTGTGTCTCCCTCTACGGTCTCTCCTGACTGCTGCTACCAAGGGTGTTGATTCTGGATCTAAATAAAATGAAATCTTATGTTGTTGTTGTTGTTGTTGTTATGTGTCATTGAGTTGCTTTCAACTCATAACAACCCTATGTATAACAGCCCTAAACCCTGCTCTGTCCTGTGCCAGTCACACTGTTTCTGACACACACACCCATCCTGATTACTCCAGTCACTGAATCAGTCCACCTCATAGAGGACCTTTCCCTCCTGTGCTGTGTCTCTACCCATCCCTCTCCAAGGACTGGTCCCTCCTTGCAATATGTCCAGAGTATGTCAGACGAAGCCCCAGAATCCTTGCCTTGAAGGAGCAACCCAGTTTAACCCTCTCCAGGATGAATCTGCTTGTTTTCTTAGCAGTCCATGGTACCCTCAACACTCTTCTTCAGCACCACAGCTCAAAGGCATCAGTTCTCCTTCTATCCTCCCTAGTCATTATCCAACTTTCTGATGCATAGCAAGTGATTGCAAAGACCATGGCCTGTACTGGATGATAAGGTTAGTCTCCAGAGTGACACAATTGCTCTTCAGTATTTTGGAGAGGTCCCTAACAGCAGACTTTTCCATCGCAATATGTCTTTTAATTTCCTGGCTGCTGGTGCCAAGAGTGTTGAGTGTGGAGCCTAGCAAACTAAAGCTGTGAACAATCTCAATCTCTTCACCACCCATCCTGATGCTGCCCATTGATTGGTTCAGAGGTGAGAATCTTTGTCTTCTTGACACTGAGCCTCAGTCCATACTGAAGGTTGCAGTCCTTGACCTCTGCAGCAAGTGTTTCAGGTCCTCCTCAGTTTCAGTAAGCAGGGTTGTGTCGTCTGCATAATGCAGATTGTTGATAGATATTCCACCAATCCTGATGCCTCACTTCTCATAGAGCCCAGCCTCTCAGATAATCTGCTCTGCATACAGGTTGAAAAGGTATGGACACAGGACACATCCCTGGCATACACCCTTCCCAATTTTGAACCATGCGGTCTTTCCTTGCTCTGTTCTAATAACTGCCTGTTGGTCCAAGTATAGATTTCGCATTAGCATGATCAAGTGCTCTGGAATTCCCATTCTTCTCAGAGTCAGCCACGGTTTGTTTTGATCCACACAAACGCCTTTGCATAATCAATGAAACACAGATAGACATTCCTCTGGTATTCCCTGCTTTCAGCTAAGATCCATCTAACATCAGCTACAATATCCCTAGTACCACGACCCCTTCTAAACCCAACCTGGACTTCTGGCAATAATTCTCTGCTGATGTGCTGTTCCAGTCGTTTTTGGATAAGCTTCAGTAGAATCTTGCTTGCATGTGAAATCAATGATCACTGTTCTATAGTTTCCACACTCTTATTGGGTCACCCTTCTTTGGAATGGGAACAAATATGGCACAACTTGGTGAACACATCCAGGGCAGTATTCGTTAGCTGAAATATGTCAATTGGTATACCATCTATTTCTGGGGCCTTATTTTTTGCTATTTCCTTCAAAGCAGCTTGAACTTCTTCCTTCATCACCATAGGTTCTTGCTCATATATTATTTCATTGAATTCTTCTGTGTCTGCCAATTCCTTTTGATACAGTGACTCGGTATATTCTTTCCATCTTCTTTTAATACTTCTTGGATCATTTATACATCAGTTTTTCCCAGATTTTTTTTGATGAATCTTCCTCTACTTTTGATGTGATACTGTGATATTCCTCTTAATATAATTTAGTTTCTCAGCATATTTACTTAGCATACAAATAGAACATTTTTGATAAAAGAATAAAATCTTAATGCACACCTTTCCTGATACTAAACCATACAGTATCCCCTTGTTCTGTTCAGAAAAACTTCGAAGTCTACATACAGATATATCATCTGAGCACAATTGAGTGATTTGGAATTCTTATTATTTACAGTGTAATCTGTTATATACTGAGATTCACATAGTTGAATGCGTCTTCCTGGTATTCTCCACTTCCAGGCAGAAACCATCTGCTGTCGGCACTGATACCCTCCATGCTATTACCTTTTCTGAATTCAGTATGAATTTCTGGCAGTTCCCTCTTAAATTAATGCCAGTCTTTTTTTTGTAATCTTCATTAGGATTTCACTTGAGTGTGATATTTATGATCTTGTTTGATAACTTCCCCGGTCTAAAGATACCTTTTTTTTGAATGGGTACAAATATGGCTTTCTTCCAGTTGGTTGACCAGATACATTCTTCCACGTATCTTGGCATAGACAAGTGAGCACACCCAGGACTGCATCTGTTGAGACATCAAACTTGATATTTCCTCAGGCCCTGGAATATTGTTGAAACTTTCACAATCAGCTTTGCTTTCTTCAGCACCATTGGCTCTTGATCATAATGTCACTCTTGAGACAGCCCAGTGTATAAGATCCTTCATTATTACTACTTGAAGCTTGAATTTGTCTTTGACTCTTTGAGCTTGAGAAATGCTGTTCCCTTTGGTATTCTAAACACCAGGTCTTTACACATTAGAACATTGTGCTTTTTGTTTTGGCTTTTAAAGGTGTTTTTCTTTTAAAGTTTATTATTTTTTGTGTATGTAGCATCAAATTGGATCTGACTGGTACAGGAGGAGATTATCCCTCCTTTTCCAGCAGAGCATCTGGTATATTCGAACCACGTACCTCTGGGATGGCAGTGCACCTTCTTGCCACCAGGCCATCAGAGCTCCCCAGAACATTTTGCTTTGTCTTCTTGCACTTTCTGTTCTGTTGAAGTTCCGTTGAACTTGCTCATCTCATCATTCCTTGTTTTAGCTTCTTTCTGTTCCAGAGCAAGTTTCAAAGTCTCTTCTGACACCCATATTGGCTTTTCTCTCACGTCTTTACCTTTTGCCATCTTCATTTGTGGTGGTCTCTTGTCATCCCACAGCTCGTCTGATCTCTGGTCATTGGTATTCAGTGCATCAAATATATTCTTGAGATCTTCTCTAAATTCAGATGAGATAGTTCCAGGGTCTTATTTTGGCTCTCGTGGATTTAATTTTTTTTTTCAGCTTCAGATTGAACTTTCATGAGCAATTGATGGTCTGTTCCCCAGTCAGCCCATGAGATTTAATTTCTCTACCATCTCTTTCCATAAATGTAGTCAATTTTATTCCTGTGTTTTCTATCAGGTATGGTCTATGTGTTTTTTGGAAAAAGGTATTTGTAAGTTGCTGCTCTATTATACAATCTGTGGCCTTATTTCTGTCATGAAGGCATGTTTTCCAACCACCAACCACACTGAATTGCCAAGTTTTCCATTCCAAACACCAGTTGTTATTATTAATGTTTCTTGATTGCATGTTTGCAATAATGAGGGTCTTGCCTCATTATATCGAACAGTTCTGCTGAGAGAAGGGACGAGAATTAAATGAAGATGTAGAGAGGCTATCGCTGATGGTGAATAGCAAAATTTTATTTTTTAAACAAAGTATATATAGGCTTTCAGTAGTATCTCTGCTGTAACAATCGCATTATCTCATAAAGTCCCAAGATGTTGATGGTCTGGTCAAACATTAAGTCTTACAGACCTCAGCACAATACAAAGATATTTTCCAGAATACCTTATTGTGTGCTTTAAGGAATAAATGGTTTCGGTTGATAAGGACACTACATTACTTAAGACATTTGGTCATTCTTATTTTTTAACATCCTGCTTTCTTGAGTTGTTTACTGCCAAGCAGATACTCTAGCCAAGATGGAGTTAGTCTTGCTGGTCTCATGGTACAGGGCTAATCTTGCTTTGCAAGTTAGCCAGGCCCTAACACCTGACTTCAGGACAGACCTTGAAATGTTCTTTCTGCAGCACTGTTTCTCATTTTGTCATTCCCTGCATAGTAGATCATGTGCTTATCTGATTCGTTACCAGTCCTTCGCAAATGACTGATGCCTAGGTTGTTGATTTTTATGTGTTCGTTTCATTGTTGACAACTTCCTGTTCTTCTAGGTTTGTGCCTGGTACATTCCACTTATTGGAGGGGGTTAGCAGTTGTTCTCTCATTCTGAGCCTTGCTCCATCTATAAATGAAGTGGTGGGGAGAGAAGGGTAACTCTGATTTGATCGGTTGACATAGTCAGACCTACGTGGTTCAGAGCAGAATGCTGCTCCATGGGGTTTTCAGAAGCAGATTGCTGTGCTTTCCTAACCAGACCCTGGAGGTTGCCTGAACCAGCACGTGCTGCCTGGAAGCCCATATGTTCCCTGCTGGTACCACAGAGGATCTCAGCAGCTTCTCCACTGGCGGGTCCTGCCAGTCTCTCCATTAGGTTGTAGTGACAGGGCCTGTCACCTCTGACAGACAGCATGAAAGGACAGTAGAGAGGTGATCAGCATACGAAAGCAGTCCATACTCTTGGGCACCTCATCACACACTGAGCTCCGGTCATAGCTGCAGCTTCACAGGACTGCAGGGGCTGGGGACACTGAAGGTGCAGGGTCATAGGAGGGCTTGGTGAGGGCTATGCAGGGGCTGGGCCACATGAAGGTGGGCTGGGCAGGGCTGTGGAAAGGCAGGGCCTGTGGCTGGGATCAAACAGTGACTAGTAGCTGGTGAAGCAATAAAGAGAAGGAGCAAGGAGAGAGGGCTGCCTAGGTGGGCATTGCCCAGCAGTGAGGACGCCTTGGTCCCATCCTGCTGGTGTGTGAGGCACTGTGGCCGTCCTGGGCTAGGGCATCTCATCCCAGCTCTGTGTTCTCTGCAGCTGGTGTACCCAAGTGACTTCAGGCTCACGGACAAGGAGGTGGGTCTTGGTTCCCAGGGAAGCACTGTGGGGCAGCTGGGCACTGGTGACCAGTCCTCTCTGTTCCAGAAAAGCAGCATCTGCTACCTGGCCTTCCCTGATTCTCATTCAGGTAGGCTGTACCCCGGGGCCCTCCCTCCTGGGGCCCTCCCACTTGCTTCTCCATCCCCCATTGCTTTCATCACTGGGCCAGCCCCCGTGGCCTGACCCTGACCTCTCCCTTCTGTGATCTGCACTGCTTGCCCCACCCCAGTACCCAGTGTCCAGCCTCCCTGCCAGGCCTGGCCCTGACTTACAAGGCAGGCAGATGGACTCGCTCCCTCCCAGGTTGCCTTGGGGACACTCAGTTCAGTTTCCGCATCCGCCAGTCTGGGGGCCTGAGAAGTCCTTGGCACGTGGACGATGGCTACTACAGCAGCAGGGCCCCCATGTCGCTGCAGGTGAGGGCCTGGGCTGGGGTAAGCACCTCAGCCAGGCCAGTCCCTTGGTGGTGGTCACTATCCCCACTCCTGGGGCTACAATAGCCCCTCTGTGTGGCCAAGTTCCTGTGGTAGGGTCAGTCCCCTCTACCATTTCTCCTCCAGGGTCAATACTAGGTCAGTACAGGCCTTCCTATAGAGTTAGTGCAGACCCCTCTGACAGGTCAGGGCAGGGCAAAACAAGCACTCCTATGATGAGGCCAGGGCAGGTCCCCCCAACAGGATCAATACAGGACCAGTACAGGCCCCTCCAGTATCAATACAGGGCCAGAGCAGGTCCCCCAACAGCATCAATAGAAGGCCGGTGCAGGTCCCCCCAACAGGATCAATACAGGGCCAGTGCTGGTCCCCCAACCGGATCAGTACAGGGCTGGTGCAGGTCCCTCTAGGATCAATACAGGGCCAGTGCAGGTCCCTCCAGTATCAATACAGGGCCAGTGCAGGCCCCCCACAACAGGATCAATACATAGGCCTGTGCAGGTCCCTTCTACAGGGCCGGTGCAGGTCCCCCAACAGGATCAATACAGGGCCAGTGCAGGCCCCTCGACAGAGTCAGTAGAGGGACAGCAGGTTAAGAACGAGCTCTCCTATAGGGCCTGGTCAGTACAAAAACTGTCATCTCCAGCAGTTGCACCTCAGCCAGGTTTGGGGGTGCCCCAGAAACTCCAGTGCTCTCCACATGTCTACCCAGACATCTCATGGTGGACCACCAAGCTGGATACTGCACTGGCCTTGCGAGCTTGCTGTTTGGTGTCCAGTCTAGGTCTACTGCTGTGCTTGGCCCATAGGATGGGCCTGAGGCCAATGGGTGGTGGGCACTGCACGGTAGCCACCTGCTGACCCTGTGCTCCTCCAGAGGGAACAAGCACACTACTTCGGTTACGTGTACTTCCGGCAGGTGAAGGACAGCTCCGTGAAGAGGGGCTACTTCCAGAAGGTGAGTGACCTGTCCCTCTGGGAGGCCTTGCAAAGGCTAGTCATCAAGAGGGCTACCTGGGCAGTGAGGCTGGGGAGCCCGCTACACCCAGCTCTCCAACTTCTCCTTTGGGAGTGGGCCTGCCTGAGCCTTGTGTCCGGTCAGGATGCCCTGTCCTCTGTGATGCCTGGAAAGGACTTTGTCACGCTCATGTGATAGGACAGACTGAATATGGAGTTCAGACAGTGTGAACAGGGTCCAGTTCTGATGGACCGTTCTCTGTGGCTGAGGGCCCCAGGCCCGGCCCGGCTGCTGTCACTGCTGCCCGGGTCTCCCAACTCTGGAGGCTGTAGGGTCTCGGCCGTTCCATAGCTGCCCCCTCCACATTGTGGAGGCTGTGGGATGGACACCAGCAGCCCCTCAGGGTGAGCTTGGCCTTGAGCCCACTGCCCATTGTGGCTCGCAGTCCCTGGTGCTGGTGTCCCGCCTACCCTTCGTCAGACTGTTCCAGGCCCTGCTGAGCCTAGTGGCCCCTGAATTCTTTGACAAGCTGGCACCCTGCCTGGAGGCCGGTGAGTGACTGCTGGTGAGTGACCTTTGACGTAGCCTTGGTAGACCCCCAGAGGGTGCCCCCCTGACCTTCTGCCTATGTCTACAGTATGCAGTGAGATTGACCAGTGGCCATCACCCATGCCAGGGCGGACCCTCAACCTGCCTGTCATGGGGGTCGTCCTTCAGGTGAGAGCCAGCAGGTAGGCAGGTGGACAGTGGGGTCTGGAGGATGTTTCACTGACATTGTCCCTTCCCCACAGGTGCGGATTCCAACCAGAGTGGACCTGCCTGAGTCCAGCCCCCCAAAGCAGTGCAGCCAGGAGGTACAGGAGACATCAGGTGTCCTGAGGCTTGGCTGAGGCCCCAGACCACTGTCACCCTCCCTGCATGTTAGGTGGGCGTAGCGGGAAAGGGCATGGCTCTGGCCTGAAGGCTGTCCTCAGGGAATTGCTGCTGAGGGAGGTGGGCACCCACCTCTATGCATGAAGTTCCTGAGCAACCCCCTCCCCCAGAAACTGCTGCCTGCCCCTGTTGTCCTGGCCGCTGTTGACCAGCTGGACCTGTTCAGGTGAGCCTTGGGGCCTCGGGGGTCTACTGCCCACTCACCCTTCATCACTTCCTGCAGTGCCTAGTCACTGAGGCCTTCTTATCCTGCCCTAAACATCTATGCCCCAGTGCCTACCTGTTCCCTTAACTGACAGTCCTTCACGCGAGTGACAGTGACTGTCCCCCACACCCCTTCACCCACTGCTCACTGCCCCCCACACCCCTTCACCCCCCGCTCACTTCCCCCCACATTCCATCACCCCCCTGCTCACTGCCCTTCACCCCTGCTCACTGACCCTACCGCTCCTCCCCTGACCCTGCACTGCCCGTCTATAGCTTGCCCACCGCTCCACCCCCTCTGCCCCCAACAACACCTGTAGCCAACATGCACCTCTGACAAACTCCCGTGGTGCCCCTGCCCACCATATCCAGCTGTGCCCATCACATCCACATCCCCTTTGCCTTACATGCCTGACCTCCCTACATTCCCCACCTGGACAGATGTCTGCAGCCTGTGCTGAGCCTCATACAGACGCTGTGGGAGCTTCTACTCCTTGGGGAGCCCCTGCTGGTCCTGGCACCATCACCCACTTTGTCCTCAGAGATGGTGCTGGCCCTGACCAGGTACCTCATCCAGGGTGGGGGTGAGTATGGGCATCAAGGAGTGCCACCTCCTTCCTGCCCTCCCCATCCAGGGCCCAGCACTGGGGTCTGAGGGTACTGGGGGCAGATAGGCAGCTGAACCAGTCTGCTTTGCCTGCCCTGATCTTTCTACTGCCCAGCTTTGGGGTCTGAGGGCACTAGGGGCATATGGATGGCTGAGCCAGCCTGCCTTGCCCACCCTGGTATTTCTACGGCACAGCTGCCTGAGGCCCCTCAAGTTCTGCTGTGATTATCGCCCCTACTTTACCATCCACGACAGTGAGTTCAAGGAATTCACCACTCGGACCCAGTCCCCGTAAGTGTCCCATCCACCAGCCCGCCCACCTCGGAGCCTGTGCTCCCTAATTGAGCCTCCTCCCAGGCCAGCCTCCTGCCAGTCTGTCTGCACGTTTGGGGCCACTCTCTCTGTTTCTCTCCTCTATCTGTAGACCGAATGTGGTCCTGGGAGTCACAAACCCTTTCTTTATCAAAACACTCCAGCACTGGCCCCACATCCTCCGGATTGGGGAGCCAAAAATGTCAGGTGAGGCTGGCACCTGGGGGCTCTGGGCTCTGGCCACATCCGCACAGGGCTGACGGCTGCTGTGTTTTCCAGGGGACCTTCCTAAGCAGGTCAAGCTGAAAAAGCCCTCTCGCCTGAAGACCCTGGACACCAAGCCAGGTCTGTCCCTCCCTGAGTCTGAGCTGTGTTCCAGTCAGGGCATCTTCTCCATCCGGGGAGGCCCCTCCTGCCCTGGTGGGGCACGCAGGTGTCCTGTCCCCTTCTCCCTCAGGCCTGGTCTGCTGCATCCTTTCTCTGCCCTAAGATTGGGCTGACCCATGGGGGACTTTTGGGGGGCAGGGCACGCAGCACAGGCGTGTCTCCCCACAGGCCTCTACACCACATACACAGCACACCTGCACAGGGACAAGGTCCTGCTCAAGAGGCTGTTGAAGGTGTGTTTCTGGGGAGTGTGGAGGGGCCCCTAGAGGGAGTGGGGTGACAGAGTCCAAGACCAGCAGGATTTGGTATGGACTGGGGGTACCCATGGGAGAGATTATGGTGTGTGTGGACCGTGCTGTGCATGGAGCCTGGAGGTGGGGGTGAGTGGGGCATGCAGGGCTCAGGATGGGTATCAGGAAGGGTGTACTTAGCCCAGGGTGGGTGTGAATGGGTGGGCAGAGCCTGGGGTGGGTGTAAGTGGGGTGGGCAGCACCTGGAGTGGGTGTAAGTGAAATGTGCTTAGCCTGGAATGTGTGTGAGTGGGGCGTGCATGGACCAGGATGGTTGCAGAGTGAGGCGTGCATTACCCGCAGTGTGTGTGAAGTGGGGTGTGCTTAATCCCGGGGTGAGTGGCGAGGGGTGCAGGGCCCGGGCATGGTGTGTGGGTCCTGCAGGGTGTGCAGAAGCAGCGGCCTGTGGACGTGCAGAGCGCGCTGCTGCAGAGACATCTCCTGGAGCTCACACAGAGCTTCATCTTCCCGCTGGTGAGTCTCGGCCTGAGGGGAGAGGCGGGCGGGGGCACGGGGGTCCCAGCCCTGGAGCTCACTCCCCTCCCCCCAGGAGCACTACATGGCCAGCCTTATGCCCCTGCAGAGGAGCATCACGCCGTGGAAGGTGGGTGTCCTGAGGTGCCCATAGCTGGCAGGGGTCTGGGCGGCAGTGAGAAGGGGAGAGGTGAGGACCAAGGGGCAGTGGCCTGAGGGGGCAGCAGAATATGTCTGGGAGAAGGGTCCTTGCAGGCTCTGCTCAGCTGGACCTCTGTCTCAGACGCCCCCCCAGATTCGCCCTTTCCGCCAGGAAGACTTCCTGCGCAGCCTGGAGCGTTCAGGGCCCCAGCTCACCTGTGTCGTCAAGGGCGACTGGCTGGGCCTTTACAGGTGGGCTGCGATCAGGAAAGTGGGTGGCAGGGGCTGTGTCCCCCCCGCTGTGAGATGGAGAGAAACACACATCTCTGCGCCACCTGCAGGCGCTTTTTCAAATCTCCCCATTTTGACGGCTGGTACCGCCAGAGGCACAAAGACATGGCCCAAAAGCTGGAAGCGCTGCACCTGGAGGCCATCTGTGATGCGGTGAGGACAGGGCCTGGGCAGGGTGGGGCCTGGGGCGGGCAGGTCAGAACCTGAATGAGCCTGCCTTCCTCCGTCCCTGCTAGAACATCGAGGCCTGGATAAAGGACAAGTCTGAGGTGGAGGTCGTAGACCTGGTTCTGAAACTTCGGGAGAAACTGGTGAGATTTCACACCCCTTACCCCTTGGGCTCCGGCAGACATAGCCATCTGATCACCACACCCCTGCAGGTCCGGGCGCAGGCCCACCAACTGCCAGTGAAGGAGGCAACGCTGCAGCGGGTGCAGCTCTACATCCAGACGGTCATCAGCTCCCTGCCCAAAGACCTGCAGGCCGTGCTGTGCCCTCCGTGAAGCACAGGGAGGGGGCAGCTGAGGAACACAGCCCCCGTCTGTACCCCTGTTGCTCCTCGGCCTTGGGGCACCTCCAGCTCAGCTGCCTCAGCAGTAAACAAGGCTTTGAACCACAGTCCAGGCCTGACTCTGTCAGGAGATTATCTGCAAGCAGAGCCCTGCCCATTCTGGTACCCTTCCCCTATGAGGCTGCGCACAAAGGGTTGGCCTGGGGCTGAGGGCTGCCTCCTGTCTGTTGTGGACCAGAACCTGGTGGGACTTGACTTCTGCTCAGTCGGCAGCACCTTGCCAGCAGGGCCAGCCATGAGGTGGCAGCACAGCCTTAGCGTTGGAGGTTTGGGGGGGGGGTGGCCTTCCTGTCAGCTGGTCCCATGGCCTCTGGCTTTATCTTGGTTCCCCCCCAGGGACACCCTCCAGCAGCTGGCTGTATGTCCTTTACCCAGCTCCCCTCTTGTCCTCCATTCAGGGCCAACCTGGGCCCAGGGCCGAAGCTCCTCAAAGGTGCTGCCTGCTCCAGATACCCCAGAATAGGGAGCTGCTTTGATTAGACCTGCCCAGAGTGGCCCATCAGGGTCAATATCTTGGGGACATCAGTGACCAGCCTCCTGCTCTGAGAGGCCAGGCCAAGGAGAGGCCAGACAGGAATGGTCTGGGCCTCATGTGGCCTCAGGAGAGAGGCCTAAAGGCAGAGTCAGGGGAGGGGTCCCTTCTGCACGCCTCCTACCACACTCCAGCCTGCTGGAAGGGACCTAGAATTGGGAGTCTGCTGGGGCTCCGGGCAACGGCAGCAGTACCTACTTCACATAAGGAATGTGGGGAGAGATACCAGGTGGATTAGGGGCAGGACAGTCTGGGTCAGCATCCAAGGACGGGACCAACAGCAGAGCTGGACAGAGGCATACAGGCTATAAATGGACTTTGAAACAGGAAAAAGCTAGAGAACCTAGAGGAGAGTCGTGGCCGTGGCCTGCCTGTCTGGTTGAAAGTTAGCCTTCCTGGCAATGTGGAGGCTGCCTGGAGAGGCCAGCCCAGGCTCACTCACCACCCACCCAGGGCCACTTCAGTGGACAAGGACTGTGTGGAAAGGTAGTTTCCAGTTAGGACAGAAGCCACCCCAAACGGAGCAGCCTAGACAGAACTGAGCATGTCCCACGGCTGGGGTCACCTCTGCTGGTTGGGAGCTGTCAGGATGGAGAAGGGGCAGCTGCTTTGGCTGGGTCAGCCCAGGAATGAACCATTGGTTCCCACTTAAGGGCTCTCATTGGGGCCACAGAAGACCACTGGGCTGTTCTGGAGCATTTGGGAGGCATGCCAACAAAAGACACAATGACCACATGAGTGCTGAGGTCCTAATAGCCTGCTCTCAGCAGCGTGAGGAGGTGGGCCTAGCATGGATTCCCATTCTGTTCCGACTCCCTCAGTCCCCTCCAGGAGTAGGTCAGCTCTAGACAGGCTATGACCTGTTTCAGGTTGGGTTGTATCTCCTGCCCAGTCCCTCGGAGGCCTCCCCTGTGCACTGTGACACATCAGGCCAGGAGCAGGCTACTCCCCAGAGTCCCCATAGGCAGGGGCGTTTGGGTGGATAGAAACTGGTTCATAGCCAAGGGCTGCGGTTGGCGTCACTGAAGGAAAAAGGAGAAAGCACAAACCCAGGGGTTTCCAGGGGTGGGGTGTTGTGATACGATGGGGGGAGGACCAGAGGACCCACTGCTTCCTACACTCTGAAGCCTCCTTGTGGGCAGTGGGGCCTTTCTGTGCTTCATAGTGAAGTGTCCTTTAAGAGACACACTTGTTTTTTAGTCCTTTTAAATAAATTGGTAGCTTGTTGGACCCTTGGAATTTTGGGGTGCCCTGCAGTGGGGTGGGTTTTAGCACATGGCCAAAGAGAGCTTTGGAAAATATAGCAGCGGGGTGGGGTGCCAAGAGAAAAATGGCTATATCAGGCCTGCCATGTCCTTAGGGGCAGGCAGGGACGTGCCTGAGGTGGAGGGAGAGTGAGGGGGAGCGCAGGGCTGGACTGGTGTCAGAAGCCCTCCATTGGGTCTACCTCCTGGAGACACTCGTGGGGGGAAGTGGAGAAGGGCTGGGACCCCACAGCATCGTCCCCTAGAGAGATAAATGGCACCACAGAGGTGGAGGTGGGCACTGCCAGAAGAGAAATAAAGATTAGGGCAGCGTTGCGCAGCATCGCTGTGCCACATGAGGACCCTTGTAATGCGCCGGGAGGGATGAGGGCAGCTGTGAGCGGACTCCTGCAGAAACCAAGTTTCATTTGGGTGTGGGGGAGTCCTGCCCAAGTATCTGGCTTGTGCGCAGTCTGCAGTGCTGGCCCGAGCCCTGGAGCCCACGAGACTAACTCTGAGCGCCGCCTAGGCCTCGGGGCCATCACCATGGGCTCCACTCAGCCCTTCGGTGGCGGCGGGCAGACAAGTCCTGTGCGGGGCCCCTGAGTCCTGGCCCCCGGTGTCCGGTAACGCGCGGGCTTGGCGGGTGGTCCCGGGCTGCCTCGCACCCCGCTCCGCCGCTCGCACCTTCCCCCTCCGCTCCGCGCGTCCCCGCTCATCCGCGCCCTCGTGCACCCCCTTCGCTCCGCGCGCCCCCGCCCCTACATTCATCCTCCACCTCCCTGCTCCGCGGTCCCCGGCGCCGCAGCCCCGCCCCCTCCACCCCCCACGCGCGCCCCCTCCCTCCTCGCTCACACCCTCCGCGCCCCGCCCTCTCCCTCCCCCGCGGCCCCTTCCCCCTCCGCTCTCCACAAGCTCCCGCCCCGCCCCCTCGCCCTCCGCCCCCGGTTCCCTCCCTCTCCGTCGGGGGCGGGGCCGGCGGCTCCCGCGCGCTCCGGCCCCTCCTCGGCCACACAAAGGCCCGTCTCCATGGCAGCCGCGCGGACCCGAGCGCGCAGCGCCGAGCGCAACCCGGGCGCCATCGAGCCGCGGCGGCCGGCGGACAGGTAGGGCCGGGACCGGGATGTGGGGGCGGGGGCTTCGCGATCTGCCCCCGATAGGCGCCCCAGGGCGCCCGTGCCGCGGCCTCCACTGCCGGCCGGCCGTCTGTCCATCCGACTGGAGGGGGGGAAGGCCTACAGCGCCGTCTGGGACGGGCCTGCCGCCGCGCTCCCACGAACCGCCCCGATCCTCGCGGTCTCCGACCCTCCTTGAGCTCGCGTCCTTACCCCCGTCCCCGTATCGGGATCGTATCCCGGGCCCGGCACGTTCTGTCGTGCTTGAGTCCTGGGCTCCTCCCCCACCCACCCGCGGTTCCAAAGTGGCCGCCCCCCGCGGGCAGGCCTCAGTCGTCTCCACCCGCGTCCCGCCCTGGGGCTCCCTGGGAGGAGGGCTTGGGCAGGGACCACTCGGTGAAACCGGGCCGACGGGGCGTAGGGCCTCGGGACTGGGACTTGGTGCCACAGGAGGCGGGGTATTAGCGGTATGGGCAACGCGTCTGGCCAGTGGACCCCCGATTTTCTGCTAGCCCTGCACTTGCGAATGTCTCCTCCAGCAGGAAGCCCTTCCTGATGGCCATTTCTCCCTCTTCTGAGCACGGCCTATTTGGATATTTGGGCGTCCTGCCTTCACATGCGGGTCTCTGAGCTCTGGAGCCCAGTATTTCCTGCCAACCTCTGACCCCAGCTCCTTGGAGATGGAAGGAGGAACTGCATACAGCTCAGGGCTGAGTGAGGGTGGGAACGAAAGCCCACGTTTTGGAGCCTGGGGGGACCCACTAGACCCGCTTTGCCGGGGGAACCCCCTTCGGGTCTAACTTTTACCTCTCGCTTTAAAAAGAGGAAGAAGGAGAGGTGCTGTCCTAGGTGGGGACTCCCAGCCTCACCCGAAGCGTGGAGGGAGACCCACCTGGGAGGCCCGCCCACGGACAAGGAACTGGGCAGGATTTGTTCCCCACTTTGTGGTACCTCATCGCGATCATGATTCTCCAAGACTACTGAGCCTGTCCCACCCCCAGGTTGGGCCGTGGGTTATTTACCCCAGAGCTTAGGGAAGTTACTGAGAAAAACAAGGGTTTGGAATTTGAGCTCCCCCGCCTCCCTTGTCGGCTGCTTGCCAAGAGGAATTATTTTGGATTATCCAGCCATGTCCAGCCTGCCAGGGAGGCTGTGGCGTGGGAGAGGGATGCACTTCCGGGCCGTGGGTGAGAGGCCCTGGAGGGAGAACCGGCAAGTCTGGGCAGCTCACCCCTGGCTGCTGCGACAGGTGGGGGCGGGGCGGGGCCGATCGCTGCTCTGCTCTCAGGGAGGGGCATCCTGGGGGGTGGGAGGCCTGTGGCCATGTCTGCTGGGCAGGCCTTCCCAAGATGGTCAGGAGTTAGAGTTAGGGTGAGTGTATCAGCTGCCCTGGTGCACACATAGGCCCAGTGCTGGCCTGCCTGACGGCCAGGGCAGGGGGGTTGAGGGGCACTGGCTGGCAGCTGGCCACCCTAGGACCCTGGCTGAGGCCCAGGCTGAGTGGAGCAGAAGAAATTGGATTGGGCATGTGGGGTGGGCTGGCAGCCTGGGGGGTCCATATGGCACGTGCACCCCACCAGGACTTCATCTCTGGCCGTTCTGGGAGTGTCACTGGCTTTGACCCCATCTAATGAGTACTGAGATCTGTAATGAGGCCCTGCGTTGAGTAAATTTCATTGAGGTGCCAGGGTCTGGCCACCAAGACTGGTCTTCCTGATAACAAACAGTTCATACCACATTAGGCTTCAGTTTCTCCTGCTGTAGTCAGATCCTGCCTGGGCATGGGGGCCCCTCCTGGGCTTAGGCAGGAGTCTTGAGGGGAGAGCTAGGACTTGGACCTGGGCCAGGAGGAGGGAGCCACTCTTTCTGTGAGATGGGCACAGCTTAGCTGGGGAGAAGGGTCCAGGGTTTGATGGAGGAGCTGCCCAGCCCTTCCCAGCTGCCTGGAGCTATTTGTGTTTGGGGTGGCCTAGCCTCTGACTAATTGTCTTTAGGTTTCAAATGACAGGCTTGGCTGGGAATCAGGGCCTTGACCTGTAAT